CATGTTGGTTGGTTTCCAGGTAATTTTCCACTAGTTGCCTAACTTCTACATAAGGACATGTCTTAGAAACACCTGGAAGAATCTAAACAACCTGAGGTGCAGGGTCAGAAGAGACATAAATGTCTTCTTTTCCTGTTGCTTCCTTCTGCATTTGCTCGAAGATAAGAACTGTCATGATGGGCTCCTTACAAACAATATATGTGAATTTGATTGAGTCTCAGGGTAGGTACTTTATGATCTATTACCCCCTGTAGGCCCTGAATCGCCCATTTTATTGCATGGAAATTTAGCTATTTTTGTTGTATTATCTTTGCGTGCTCCAAACACATGAAGTGTCAAGGTAGATGCTCAATAAATGTTTGCAGGACTTAAAACTTACATTTTATCTCCACAGCTAGAATATACTTTTATTTCCTCTGCACTGGAAGATACACAAACATGAAGACATTCATGTTTGTGATTGTAGAAACCATCACTGGCCAAACCTAATAACCCTCCAACTTTCATGTCCACCAGCTCTGAGAAACACACGTAGGCATGCCTGACCTCCTTGCTCTTTTTCCATCTTCAGAAATGGAAAGTGTACACTCAGAAAGGGAGCATAATCTGGGATGATTTCTCAAGGGCCCACACTTTAAATCCAATGAATTGAAACTGGTGACTGCAGAATAACTTTAGGTTTCATAAGAACTCCATGAACACACCATGCAAACACACGTGTGTGCTATATAAACAGGTATACCACATGTTTTCATTACAGGAAGGTCTGACCTGGGGTGTGTGTGTATATGTACGCTAGAGGTATCAAGGCTGATAACTATTCACCAACAGCAAATATCCTGAGTGATAATAACAGTTATGCAGAAACTATTGATCTTTAATGTCTATTCTGTAAGGAACTAGTAGCAAATCAAAAGTGTTCTGACAAAGAATAAATACTAGCATAATTTATCCCCTTTCTCAGGTTTAACAGTACTCCCTAGGGTGCCAAGACCTAGTCTCAATAATATATATTATATATATACAGTGACCACACTTTGATAATTAAAAAAAGAAAAAACATAGGCTGAGGGAAGGAATAGAGGGAAAGTCTCCTTCCCCTGCTGTGAGGCCTTGGGCAAGTCCCAGCACTTTTAAGTAAAACAGGACTAATCCCCCTACCTCCAGGTCCCTCTTAGTAAATAAGATGACACATTGCATATGGAATGGGGGGTGGAAGGAGGACTTGAAAGCCGCACAAACATTACTCTAGCAACCGGTAATCACCGATGACATTGTACCTAGCATGTGTCACAAAACTACCGCCTCTGAGCGAACACTATCCAGGACAGACACTTGACACAGCAGATGAGATGATCTGTGTGTAAATCGAATCCTGTTTCAAATACTCAAAGGGTGTTTCCTCAGGCAACCCGAGGGCATCCTGTGAGGCACTGGACATGTCCTGATGTCTATTCTGGACATTTTGTCCCCATAGAATCGGGTTTTCTCGAAAGCCAGGTAATTTCCATGTGCCATGTGCCCACGCTTGGAGCTGGGACTCCAGAGGTTTTCGATTCAGGGGTCTGGGTCTGAGGGACCAGGCCCAGACATCCAGAGGCCCCTCCCCGCCCCCTGGGCGGCTCCTTCCTCTCCTCCTCTGCTGGAGCGGTGGCGCCAGGGGCGTCGCTCTGCTGTGTCACTTTCGCCCTCCTGAGCCTCCTGCCCGCCCCGAACCGCAGCTCCAGCCGCTGCCTCGATTTGCACTGGGTCGCCAGCCCACGAGATCGTGCCGGGCCGCAGAGACCCAGAGCCCGGCGGCCGAAAGAAGACCTCCGACTGCACCCTGCAGCTGTGCGATCAGCAGCGCAGAGCTGGCCGGGCCGGGCAGCCTTTGGCCCCGACTGTCTCCAGGCCAGAAGAAAGGGAGGCGGGCGCCTAATCCGTGGATTCTCCTCCCGGAGTGCGAAGACCCAGCGGGCACGCGCGTCCCAGAGCGCCTGGTGCCAGGGTCATCCCAGCTAGTCTGGGGTGTGTGGCGGGGGTGGGGACGGGCAGCGGCGCCCGCGAGCGCTCGCGGCACCGTCGGCCCAGTCGGACCAGCCGGCGGCACCGCAAAGTAGGCGGTCAGTGGACGCGGTCAGGGAACACGGAGGGAGGGACGCAGCCTCGGCCACAAGGCGGGTTGGGGATTCTTCAGCAGCAACCGCAAGGTCTCTCCCGGGGCCCACGGCCGCGCTACCCCTCTCCTAGAAACCCGGCGCGCGGCCGACACACTGACCACTAGCCCGGCTCCCACCTCCAGAGGGCTGGCGGCTCAGAGGCCCGCGGGATCCGGCCCACGCGCGTCCCGGCTACACCGCGGCCTGCAGCCCCCACCCCCCACACGCCGGAGCGGTGTGTACACACACAAACAGTTGGGCGGGGGAGGCGACGCCTCGCTCCCCAGGGTGGGGACGCGCCGGGCGCCGCCAGCCAGCCAGCCCTCCCCGTCCCTAGCCGCACCTCCCTCCCTGCTCACACCAGCCACCGCCCCCGACCCCTGCCCCGACCCTGAAAACTCCAAGTCAAACGGCCGACGTTGTCCAGCTGGGGGACTTCCAACCCCCGATCGTCCTTTAGGTAGAGAAATGCCCGGCTCCGAGGCGCGGTCTTCAGGACGCCCCCTCCAGTCTCACCCAAGCTCTGGCACGCGGTCCTCCGCGGGCCCAGACATCAAGTCACCGCCCCCTGCCTTCCGTCCCGACGACAGCCGGCCGGGACAGTCATCTACTGGTCTGCTAGAAGAACCCAAGCTGGAGCCTACCCCGCCGCCGCTCGGGCCACTCGCCACACACTCACCGCGCTGGCTTTTCAGAACCTGACAACTTAGCCCTCCCCGGGCCGCACACATCTGTTCCCAGGCCCAGTGACACCGCAGCGACAGGAATAATTTTTTTTTAAAGGCCAACACAATCACAACCGTAAAGAATGGCCAAAGCTTGCAACCGCAATAGATCAACCGATCCGGTTTCCTCCTCAGCTTCGCCTCCTCGCGCCCCGCGCGGCCCGCGGACACACAGGGGAAGGAGGGAGGGTGCAGCCAGTCTAGACGACAGACATCCCCGCGCCCGCGGGGACGGGCGCGCACACACACTCACACACGGCCGCTGCCACAGACACAATCAGTCAGCAAGGAGGGAGGGGCGGCGAGGAGGCTCTCGGGTCTCTCCCGCAGCCGCGAGGGCAGCAGCCTCCCGCCCGGAGCCGCCACCCAGAGCCGCGCTCCACAACCTCAGCGCGGCCAGAACAGCTGCAAGTTTGGCTGGTGCTAAACCAACTGCCTGATGCAGCAAATGCAGGCTCAAAACAAAAGAGAGGGATCACGCTGGCTCTCTTCCTCCCGCGGCACCCCCACCCCGGGTCGGAACCCGGCACACGACAGCGGTTACACAGCGAGGCTCCAGCGCCCGCCGGGCTCCAGCAGTGCGCCCCTCAAGACAACCCCCACCCCCCGCACTAGAGCTGCAAGGCTCTGGATCCCCACCGGGCGGGAACCCGGCTGCGAAGGGGCTAACCTGAGGAGCCGGGCGAGCCGGTGGAGCGCGGTCCTCCACCGAGAGAGGGGGGCGGTGGATGCGCGCGGACGCCCGCTGACCCGGCGCTGGGAGGGGGGAAGGGGGCTAATTGTTTGGGGCGGCTTTCCCGGATTTATCTATAAGCACGCGCACGTCACGAAGCCCTCCTCCCGGGTCGCCGAATCGATCCGCAAGCTGAGATCACTACAAGAGGGGGGTGGATGGCGGGGATGCTCACCTCGGGGTTCCTCCGGCCGCCGCTCCGAGCCCCAGTCGGAGGATGGGGGAAGGGGGCAGGGAAGGGGAAGGGTAGGACTAGCAGGCTCCAGAGAGCCGACTCCTGCCTCGAGTTCCGCGCGTCCCGGCTGCGGAGGGGATCCGGCGCCCCAGCGCACAAACCCAACAGAGAGGGGAGGGAGGGAAGGGAGAGAGGGGGGGGGGGGGGGGTGGGAGGGGGGAGAGTAGAGGAAGGAAAAAAAATGATCCCTGCTCTGACACAGGGAAAGAGAATGTAGGAGAGTGACGTCCTGGCCCCGCCCTCCCCTCCGGCCACGTGCAAAGGCTTGAAAGGAAAGAGGGCGGCGGGAAGGCTGCTGGGAAATGTAGTTCGCCTTTCTTCCCTGGGATGGCGGGCCCGGGAGAGCCCGGCGCTGCGGGAACTCCGGGGATGCTGCCCGAGCGGCCCAGAGAACCCCGTCTAACCACGAGGAAACCCGCAACCCAGCGTCCCCTCTCCCGCAACGCTGGCACCACCCTGGGCGAAAACCTCTACATGGGGAGAACTGGGGGGCTTTGGTGTGGTCTAGATCGACAGGGGAACGTTTGGGTTTAGGGGCAGGAAGACTTTAAAGGATATGGACTTACAAGCTTAAGTGCGTGACTTAATGCAGATAAAAGGAAGCCTTGTGTATGCACTGGAGGCCAAGTGGTATTATTAATGCTGCATTAAATGCTAACGTATGTTATTGAGATGCATATGTTATAATTAACATTTGAACATCTCTGTGGCAGGGGCGGAGTGTTGTAATTAGATATACACTTTGCAACCAATTAATTTTCCATTGGCCTGCTGAGGGGAGAGAGGTGGGGCCGTGGAGGCTGAGAAAATTCAATGCAATAATCAGTAATCATTTAGCCAAATAACCGATGTTTTCTAAGTGCCTACTGGATAGCAGGGACTGTGATTGGCATAGAGGGACCCTTAGAAATCCATTTATCAGCTTATGTAACATTTGCAGAACAGACAGGACATGTCCCCAAATGTAAAAGAATTAAGGCCCGCAGTCTCTGCCCTCAAAGAACTCAAAGTGTCGTGAAGGGAATTCAGTCAATGAAAATGCAGAGGATAAACAACACTTAATTTAGGAATACCCATGACATGCTAGGAACCCTCAGGCAGAGCAGTAAACCAGGGTGGCATGGGAATGGGAGAGGAATCAGAGAAGACTTCTTGGAGGAGGTGGTAATTGTATTAAGAATTAGTAAAAGGTAAGGATTTGACTAAACAAAGGAAGGAAAAGGTAAGGATTTGACTAAGCCACTGGGCACATCCCCCAGATGAAGGAACAGAGAATTCTAAAATTCCCATCAGTTTTTCTGGACCCAGGGAGCAGATTGATGAGAGGGAGCTAGGAGAGGCTGGTGGCAGAAAGAACCTGGGACAGCTTCTCACTGGAGCTGGGTTTGAGAGTGGGGCTTGAGGAGGGCCTGGAACCGTGAATGGGATTTTGTTTCGTATGGAAGCTTGTCTTTCTGGCCTGAGCTCAGAATAAGTGAAGTCACAGAAGAAAAGCAAAGCAGCAGCCCCATCCTATATAGAAACTCATTTGATGCTTGTACCAAAGGCCTGGGGGAGGGGTGTTGTCCCCTCTCTTCTGGAAGTAGGCAGCTGGGTAAGTGGCAGAGGGGGTCCCAGAAGTTAGTTACTGGGTGCCAGGCTCCATTATCCCCCCACTGTCCCACCAACAATGGAACATGTTTACACATACCTGACTTCCCCTTAGCATTTCTGCTTCATTAGCACAGCAGCATGTTATTTTTACGCTTTAACATCTGGACAGTTTCCTAGGCTTACAAAATATGATAGAATAGTACTAGAGTCTATCCACTCAGCAATTCTCATTTACCTACCTTGTTGTCAATGCTGTTTCACCCATTGTGTGAGAAGCACACCACTGACAAAGAAGAATGGAAATATCTGGATTCTGCTTTTGCTTTTGCTTTAAATCACACCCCAGAAGTGAGGAGGAGATCCACCCCCAAAGGTGAGGAAAGGCTGAGCAACTGGCAGAAGGCAAAGCTACCCTGGAAAGCACACACCTCTGTTTGGGGGTCTATGTGGAATGAGGGGTCATGGGAACTGGGAAGCCTGATTCTGGGCTTGAACCCCAGGCAAAGCACTTCCTGGATCTGTGGCTCTGGGCCACTTACTTGATCACCAAATGGGTGACCTTGGGCTGCTTATTCAAGAACTTTTCCTGGGCTGTGAGCCCCAGTGGTGATAATGTCTTTAAACTGGTTCTGCCGAAAGCAAGTGCTCAGGTGATATTCCTGCCCCCACCCCCACCCCCCCACTCCTCACCCCCACCCCAGGATCAGGGGTCTGGGATCGGGCAGGTGAGTGATCCTTGCATTTTAATTTTCTGCTGCTGGGATGCAGGACTGGCACTGCAGGGAGGATCCCGCATGACACCTCTCCAGGTGTGAAGCAGGTTATGTTACTTGTGTCTTCAAGGAAATGTCACCCAGTCCCAGTCCTCACCTCCTGCTGGCCCATCCTCTTACCCTCCCCGGCAGTCTGCAGTCGGTGGTTCTGCTCTTCTCTCCCAACCCTGCTGCCCAAGGACCCCTGGGGTGTGTCTCCAACCCCAGATGCCTTCTCTAGGTGCAGGACCCCCACACTGCTCATCTACACTTATCTTGCATAACCTCAGAGCCTGGTCCCCTATGTCAGTCCAACTGGACAAATCTTCATCATCCTGATAACAGTCTTATCAGTCTCTTCTCCAAATGTGACTTTTCCCACCTTTTATCAAGAACTCTCTGAAATGACCTCTGATGGTGGGGATTCAGGCTGAACTTGTGGGTCCCTCCGACAAGTGTCCTGTGTGGGAGGCCTGGGAGTCTCGTGTTCTCCTCTGTCATCCTTCCTTCTCTGCGGTGGGGTTGATCTTACAGCAGGCTTACAGGCTGAGGACAGAATTGCTGCTGGGTGCCAAGTTAATGAGTTGATACCGGAATTGGCTTAATTGTGGCAGATATGAGTTGCCAAGCATTGCCTTTGTCTGTCTTGTCACTATGTAGCTTAGAAATGAAAAGACAGAATAGTTTTCTCTGTTTTAAGTGATTGCTTTTCCTCTTCCATACTTCCCAAAGATACTAGCAAAAGGAACTATTTCTCCTTTCTTCCTACTCCTCCCCACTTCTCCCCATCCACACTCTTAATTGAAGGCCTCTGGGAGCCCCAGAGTGCTGAGGGTGGGCGGAACCTCCCTCCAGGAGCAGGAGACCAGACTAGCACCTGAGACAGCAAGAACAGGGAAGTGCCACACTGGGGGGGGGGGGGGGCGCGGAGATTTTCAGGGCACTCAGGGTTCCCAGTGGATTGGAGCAACCAGAGGCGTCTTCTGGAAGGAGGTCTTCAATAGGGAGTGACCAAAATCCATGGACAACTAGGCAGAGGGTTTAGGGAAGTGATTTGGTTTTTCCTCAATCTTACTTTTCTTAATTTGCACCGATCCATTTATTACTGTTAGTGGTTGATTTTTTAATTTTCCTGGTGTCACCAATTTCTCCCTGATTTTATCAGAATTTGCCTTTATTTTCTGTGATTTTTATATTTTATCAAACTCCTTTTCTCTTTATATATTTGTAAAGTTTATATGTATTTGTAAATAAAGGTTTTTATCTTGTCCAAAACAGAAAAAAAAAGTTAGGGAACAGGTACATCCTGTACCCTGACATCAAAAAAGGATGGAAGACATGAGTCTAGTTTCTCTGTTCTGCTACTGTGGTGTTGGCCTGGAGAGATAGTGACTGGGGAGAGCCAGGCTACATTTCACCCAGGCCTCATCTCTGCTTCCACACATAACTCCAAAGACCAGCTTTGAAAGGCAGATTAAAAAACAGCCCTTTGGGCATGGTGGTGGTGAAGTCGGTAGTGCAGAAGAGGCATTGACAGCGAAAGATGAGCTTGAGGAAAGCCAAAACAAACCAAGGAATAAGCAAGGAATATTTGTTGGGAGCGGCTACTTATTAGGCATCGCAAGTTACCATGGGAACTAAGCTCCAGACCCCCAACACTCTCTGCTGCATGTGATTTCCTGTCTCAGGCTTCTTCCCTCATCTGAAAGGTAGGAGGGTTCAAATCCCAAAACTGAAGTTCTCCCTTGAAGAAGTTTGCAATCCAGTTGGCCAAAGAAACTGTAAAGTTAAGTAGCCAAAAGGATGAATTTTACATGTGGAATTTTGGCAGACCAGAAAGGGTTTTTTTCTTGTAATATTCATTAAACAGAGCCCTTAAGTCAGAGGGAATACAGGACAAGCAGATCCTGCCTTCCAATACTCAAGGACAGAAAGCGAAGCCCTTGTGCAGCCAAGGACCTTGAGGCCTTTGGTGTTCAAGGTCAAGGACCAGTGGCATGAGTGCGTCAGCCACAGTTGACTTATTCACAGTGAGAATGGGGTGTGGGGCAGGAGGAGGGTACATCCCACATCTCTGCAAGAGGCAAGTTTCGTCCTTTGTCACGCTACTGTCTAGAAAAAGTGTGCCTTACCTTGGAAGGGACAGCAAAATTCATTGGACTTGGGTGTACCCCAGATCCAAGGGACCCCAGAGCCAGGCCTGGGCTGAAGTGGCCTTGGCACTGGCAGATTAACTGAGCTAATCAGATTCCCTCTTATAAGAATTCTGACCTCTGCTCATTGGGGATTGTTCCTCAGTCAGGTTGGAGTTGGGGATGTGGAGCCTGGGCAGGCCAAAGACAAGTAAGCTGAGGAGGGAATTGGAGCAGAGGGAGAGGAGGAAAAGGAGGAGGAAGCACAGGAGGATGGAAGGGGGAGGGAGAAGGAGGATGCTTGTGAGAGAGATCCATAGTATCTTCTTTCCTAACTTTCCAATTCTCAGTCACTGGGTGTTCTATTAGCCATCTATTATACCATCTATATGTCCTTCCGCAGTTCCTTTTAATTTGCAATAGCATGAGTGATTTTCTAATCTTTATAATCCAAAAACCTATCCCAAGCAGCCTGAAGAGAAAGAAAGGCAGTGTAGAAAAAGGGGTTAAAGCCACCAGGACCCTGTAGCTGGGAATTTTCCCTCCTGAAAATGGCTTTTCCTTTTCTATCCTAGATGTCCTCTTTTTCCAACTAACTTATACTTCCCGTCTCCTAAACATATTATGAAATGTCTGCAAGATAACTGGGCCTCAAAC